GATGGGGTGTAGGGCAGGCAGAGACCCGTGGAACATCGCGCCAAGCAATTGTGAGTGCTGCCGCCTGTCGGGAGGACCTCCCAGGAAGATCTCCACTGAAACCCCCCTCTCTTGACAGTTTAACATCAACGTTGTGGCAGACGAGTCAAGGGGAGGGGCTACACACCCAACAGGCTGGGCAGCAAATGATCATAATTCCCAATTTTACACATGGGAAAATGAAGCAAATCTGGAATAGGCTTGCCCAAGATCACATAGGAAGTCTGCGACTGAGATGGGAATGGAGCTGAGATTTATTTAGTGAGTCCCTGTATTATAAACCAATGATGAGAGATCTACAGATTGTTAGATATTCTTTCAGCTACTTAAAACAGGTCAATACGACCATATCAAACTAAACCCTTGCTTCATTTCAGTAAAGATTTTAGAAAAAATCTAGAGAAAAACGGGCCTTCCAAATCCCAACTCTGGCCTCATGTCATAGATTTATGTACACATTAAATCTCCTTAATATGGAAAAAAATTCTGATATCATAATTAATGCTAGTACATTTTCCATTATCCTGTGTATGCTGTTCTACAAAGCTCTTGTAACGTGAAAAATTATACAGTATACATAGTAACTTAATTAAAAATACAGAAAAGCAAGACATGTACTCATTTCCCTAATGCCATATGTGAACTGTTTCTATAGAATTTGAAGCTGTTAAAGATTACATAATAGTGATATATAGAATCATAGAAAATTAGGGTTGGGACCTCAGGAGGTCATCTAGTCCAACCCCCTGCTCAAAGCAGGACCACCCCTAATTAGATCGTCCCATGCAAGGCTTTGTCTAGCCGAGTCTTAAAAACCTCCAAGGATGGGGAGTCCACAACCTCTCTAGGTACCATGGGCAACTGGTGCCTCCTAAGTCATGGGGGGCACCAGCAGATCACGACCAGGGGGAGGGAGGGGTCCCCCAGCGGCAAGCCATTGATGACCTTGCACTTTAAAGAAGTTCTATTTTAGGCCACATAGTTTATGTATAAATTTAGGTCTCCCAGTTTCACTGGGAAATACCCAATTTCGAATGGTCTTGCCTAAGCTCCTGAAAGACTGTCTAGTTCTCTTCTAATGGCAGATTATTAGGCCTCAAGATAGTCATGGGGAAAAAAACTTGCCCTGGCTTAAAGAGAGTTCCCCAACCTGAAATGATGTTCCTCCAGCAACAGCCAAGGCACCAGACCTTACTCTAGTTACAGATTCCAGCTATGCTCCCTCATCAAAACAGACCACATCATCACTGGAACAAATAACTTGAATTATAAAATTAGAATTACATAGTAGACTATTAGAAAGCCAGAACAAGCCGTTCTAAATCAAGGCTTTATATTCTGGGAGGGAGTTCCTAACTCACCTCTCTTGCTCCCCACTACAGACATTTATTAAATATGGCTATTCAGAGGCATAAATTGAAATAGTTTTGCAGATGCAGAGGGAATAGCAAATTTCAATCCAAAGTAAGAGGGAGGCAGCAAATTCTTTACAGCAGGTGAGAAAGGTGCTTTTTCTAGTACGTACTGCAGGGAACAAGGTAAAAGGAAAGCTATGCAATGCATCTCCAGTTAAAACTGGAGACAAATAAATTTAAGGAAGACAACTAAACGTAAGAGAATGAACTAGGAAATAGTTGGGAAGAGTTGAGAAGAGCCCGGGAAACAGCAGGTCACTACTGGGAGAGAGGGAGGTAGGAGGATGGAGCCAGAGACAGACACGCAAGGATTTGAGAAGGAAAAGTTAATAGTTCTTATACATCAGGGCTAGCTGAAAAGCCTGAGGCTGAATCAATTCAATCTGGGCAGATTAGTTTAAACTGTGTAAATTGAATTGATAAGCAGGGATCCAGATTTTTTTTCTGTTTAAAAATTGCAAATACTCTGATAAAAAAAAATCAAAAAGTTTCTGATTAAAAAACCCCCAAATTCACATTTTTCCATGATTAAAATGAAACAACACTATATGTATAGGTATCAGTTTAACACAGTGTTTTATTGTTATGTTTACAATTGTAAAGCAATTTGGAAGCCTACCAGTGCATCACATTCATTATAATAAAATAAACTTCCCCTCTATCAGGTGCTGGTCAGACCGCAGTTGGAATACTGTGTGCAGTTTTGGGCGCCACACTTCAAGAGGGATGTAGATAACCTGGAGAGGGTCCAGAGAAGGGCCACTCGTATGGTTAAGGGCTTGCAGGCCAAGCCCTATGAGGAGAGACTGGGGCACCTGGACCTCTTCAGCCTCCGCAAGAGAAGGTTGAGAGGTGACCTTGTGGCTGCCTATAAGTTCATCACGGGGGCACAGAAGGGAATTGGTGAGTATTTATTCACCAAGGCGCCCCCGGGGGTTACAAGAAATAATGGCCACAAGCTAGCAGAGAGCAGATTTAGATTGGACATTAGGAAGAACTTCTTCACAGTTAGAGTGGCCAGGGTCTGGAACGGGCTCCCAAGGGAGGTGGTGCTCTCCCCTACCCTGGGGGTCTTCAAGAGGAGGTTAGATGAGTATCTAGCTGGGGTCATCTAGACCCAGCACTCTCTCTTCCTGCTTATGCAGGGGGTCAGACTCGATGATCTATTGAGGTCCCTTCCAACCCTAGCATCTATGAATCTATGAAACTCTAAATACCTATATATTTTGGCGTTTGATTTGGGGGGGATTATCATAGAAAATCAGAGCTCCCCCTGCCCTGTTCACTCACCAGGACATGGGTCCAGCTATGGTTTGGCCCCCCACTGCTTTGTGGCACTGAGCAACCCTGATATGCCACTGTCCCTCACTCCCAACTAACAGCCCACTGGCCCTGCTGGTGCCCCTCACTTCCCATCCACAGCCCCTGGGCCCTGCTAGTGCCCCTCACAACGCATTCACAGCCTGACACCCCTCTCTCAGTACTGCTGGGCCCCTCACTCACGAGCCACAGCCCCCTGCCCCCTCCAGCCCTGCTGGAAGGAGCCCCCAGCTGCTAGGGCTACAGGAGTGGGGCCAGGGTCCTCAACCCCCCCCACTTCCCCAGAGCAGAACCTGAACCCCAGCTGCCCCCTGCAGAAGGTGGCAGATGCTATGGCCAGAGCAAAGTCCAGCTCCTGCCCCACTCCCCCACTCTGTGGGCAGCATGGCCAGAGCAGAGCCTGTTAGAGCTGGGGATTGGAGAATGAGGGCTGCCTGCTGCGGGCTTGGGGCATCCCACCCTGCTGCCCTGGGAGCTCAACACCACCTGCACCACCAAGGCAAGGTGCCCCCTGCCCACTTGGCAGCACTGGTGGTGGTGCAGAGCTGTGCCCCCTGCTGCTGCTGGGCGGGCAGGGGGCACCTACCCATGGAGGCACAGCTAGTTTGGGACTCCGGACTCTGGCACCAAACCTGCTTACCCCTCTCTGCTCTCCTGCACCAGGTCCCGCCCCCTGGGCCATGAAGGCCCTCCGGAGAGGGGGCAGCAGGGCAGGGAACCCTGAGCCTGCATCCACCCCTACCCTGCACACAAAATGGGGGGGGGGGAGAATATGCCCCCCCCCAGGCCTCCCTTGTGAGCCTCCTGTGACTCCATCCTGCTCGCCCAGCCCCAGCCCTACTCCTCTCCCTCACCGTGGGGGCCTCAATCTGACCTCCCCCCCCATAGACTTACCTGGAGGGAGCTGCTCTCTATGCTGCCTGGCTGCCATGTGCATGTGAGTGTGCGCACATGTACTTGGCACCCCCTGCCTGTGATCACCCTCTTCCCTCTCCCCTCAGCCCCTTGCAGGCTGGAACTCTGCCAGCCTGCAAGAGGCACCTGTTGTTTCCCAAGTTTTTCTGCTTAAAAGGAGAAAATCTGCATTTTTCTCTGTTAAGGGAGAAAATCCACGTTTTTCTGCAGTAAATGGAAAACGTGGATGCCTGCTGATAAGCAATTGAACAGACATTCACTTTTGATTCTGGAAATGCAGCCACATGCCTACAGTGGCCCAGGCCAGAAGCTTGGGGGCACTAGAGCACACCTCCCTGCTCCACTGGAGCAGACAGATTGGGCCAAGTCTAGCACACCCACCCGACAGAGGG